ACACAGTGCAAACGAACCAAACCAAATTACCCCAGATAACAATACATACAATGCAAGCGAGTCAGCAGGCAGGCCGGGTCAATAACAATCAGCCAGGTAGAAACAGGAGGAGCAGGCAGAGAGTAGTCAGGTCACGAGCCGGGTACAGCAACTAACGGACAGGTAGGTACAGGGGGTCAGGCAGAAAAAGGTCGGGGTCACAAGCCAGGGATCAAACAGGAGAAGTCAGCAGAGGTCAGGATCAGGCTGGGTCGGCAACAAGTCAGTCAGGCAAGAACAGGAACAGGAATGCAGGTAACAAGATACAGGGGCCCATGGAAAAACACACGCCAAGGCCCAGACTGCAGGTCTGGCCATCCCTTAAATACACCTCCGTAATCAGCTTCAGGTGTTTGGCTGACTGCAGGGTTCAGTCTCTGATTGCTGAGAACACCCGCTGGCCAGCCCTGGTACTGCAGCCCACCAGGCAGGTGAGTTCCCACCATTATTGGCAAGTCCATTCCTGACAGTAGCCCCCCCTCAAGGAGCGGCCTCAGGACGCTCCAAACAGTCCTAGCTGGGTGAAATGTTCCACTGCCCGGGTCTGGTAACTGGCGGGATATCAAAGACTGGCACATCGGGCTGGACTCCGGGCAGAGGCACATCGGGCTGGACTCCGGGCAGAGGCACATCGGGCTGGACTCCGGGCAGAGACACATCGGATCACCAGGCGGAGCGGGCAGGCACCGGGCCACCAGGCGGGGCGGCAGGCACCGGGCCACCAGGCGGGGTGGCGGGCGCCGGGCCCCCAGGCGGAGCGACGGGTGCCGGGGCCCCCAGGCGGAGTGACGGGCGCCAGGCCCCAAGGCGGAGCGGCGGGCACCGGGCCCCCAGGAGGGGCGGCAGGTGCCGGGCCCCCCCAGGCGGAGCGACGGGCACCAGGCCCCCAGGCGGGGGCCCCAGGCCCCCAGGCGGAGCGATGGGCACCGGGCCCCCAGGCGGCGGAGCGGCGGGCACCGGGTCATCAGGCACGACAGCGGGCATCGGGTCACCAGGCATCAGGTCATTTGGCTCGCCAGCAAGCACCACGTCATCTGGCAAGGCAGTGGGCACCGAGTCACCAGGCACGACAGTGGACTCCGAGTCAACTGGCATGACCGCGGGCACTGGGTCAGACATTGGATCGTCTGGCTCGACAGCGGGCATCGGGTCACCAGGCATCAGGTCATTTGGCTCGACAGCGGGCACCGCGTCATCTGGCAAGGCAGTGGGCACCGAGTCACCAGGCACGACAGTGGGCTCTGTGTCAACTGGCATGACCGCGACCACTGGGTCAGACATTGGATCATCTGGCTCGACAGCGGGCATCGGGTCACCAGGCATCAGGTCATTTGGCTCGACAGCGGGCACCGCGTCATCTGGCAAGGCAGTGGGCACCGAGTCACCAGGCACGACAGTGGGCTCTGAGTCAATTGGCACGACAGCGGGCACCGGGTCATCAGGTACCGGATTGTCTGGCTCGACAGCAGGCACTGGGTCATCTGGCGCTGGATCGTCTGGCTCGACAGCGGGCATCGGGTCACCAGGCATGACAGCGGGCACTGGGTCATCAGGCATTGGATCGTCTGGCTCGACAGCGGGCATCGGGTCACCAGGTATGACAGCGGGCACTGGGTCATCAGGTACCGGATCGTCTGGATCGACAGCGGGCACCGGGTCATCTGGCGTTGGATCGTCTGGCTTGACAGCGGGCATCGGGTCACCAGGCATGACAGCGGGCACTGGGTCATCAGGTACCGGATTGTCTGGATCGACAGCGGGCACCGGGTCATCTGGCGTTGGATCATCTGGCTCGACAGTGGGCATCGGGTCACCAGGCATGACAGCAGGCACTGGGTCATCAGGCATTGGATCGTCTGGCTCGACCAGTTCATCAGGCTGGGTACAGACATCAGGCTGAAGTGCGGGTGCCGAGGCACCAGGCTGAACCACGGAAGGCAGGTGCTCAGACGGCAGGCTCACCAGTTTGGATACTGGCAGGATGGTACTGGTTGGAAAGAATTTTCGCTTTTTTCTGGTTTTAACTACTGGAGCATTGCAAGTAAACGCAGGTCTGCAAACGAATGGAGCAGCTGAGGACAGAGAAGAGCTGGAAGATGGAACAGAGGAGGGAGAAGCCGCCACAGAGGACCTCTCCACAGGGCCCAAGAAAGGATAGGTGCAGCAAGTGGGAGCAGGGGACTGGTATGTGGTAGTTAGAGTATACTGGGCAGTCACTGGGGGTGCTGACGGGGATGCAGGAAGAGTGCCTTGAGCAGAGGAATGATATTGCAAGCCAACTGAGGCTGGGTGTAACAAATCTGTCCATGTCTGCAGTACTGGTTGAACCAAACTCAGCTTACACATAGCCTGTCTGACCAAAGACTGCACTGCGTTTATGCAATCCATGAGCACATGTGATGGACAAGCTGCATAGTGCTCATGGAAACAATCTGGATCATCCTCCAACAACCATACCAGTGATTCCACTTGATCCACACTAAATGGGGGAAAAATAGATATACTCCTGACCCCTACACTCTATACACAGGGCTGTATAGGATATACTCCTGACCACTGCACTCTATACACAGGGCTGTATAGGATATACTCCTGACCACTGCACTCTATACACAGGGCTGTACATGATATACTCCTGACCCCTGCACCCTATACACAGGGCGGTACGATATACTCCTGACCCCTGCACTCTGTATACAGTGCAGGGGTCAGGAGTATATCATATACCGCCCTGTGTACACAGGGCTGTATATGATATACTCCTTACCACTGCACTCTATACACAGGGCTATATAGGATATACTCCTGATCACTGTACTCTATATCCAGGGCTTTATAGGATATACTCCTGACCCCGGCACTCTATACACAGGGCTGTATAGGATATACTCCTGACCCCTGCACACAGGGCTGTATATGATATACTCCTGACCCCTGCACTCTGTACACAGGGCTAGATATGATATACTCCTGACCCCTGCACTCTGTACACAGGGCTGTATATGATATAATCCTGACCACTGCACTCTGTACACAGGGCTGTATATGATATCCTCCTGACCCCTGCACTCTATACACAGGGCGGTATATGATATACTCCTGACCAGTGCATTCTATACACAGGGCTGTATAGGATATACTCCTGACCCCTGCACTGTATACACAGGGCTGTATATGATATACTCCTTACCACTGCACTCTATACACAGGGCTATATAGGATATACTCCTGATCACTGTACTCCATACCCAGGGCTTTATAGGATATACTCCTGACCCTGGCACTCTATACACAGGGCTGTATAGGATATACTCCTGACCCCTGCGCACAGGGCTGTATATGATATACTCCTGACCCTGCACTCTGTACACAGGGCTAGATATGATATACTCCTGACCCCTGCACTCTGTACACAGGGTAGTATATGATATACTCCTGACCCCTGCACTCTATACACAGGGCTGTATAGAATATACTCCTGACCACTGCACTCTATACACAGGGCTGTATAAGATATACTCCTGATCCCTGCACTCTATACACGGCTGTATAGGATATACTCCTGACCCCTACACTCTATACACAGGGCTGTATAGGATATACTCCTGACCACTGCACTCTATACACAGGGCTGTATAGGATATACTCCTGACCACTGCACTCTATACACAGGGCTGTACATGATATACTCCTGACCCCTGCACCCTATACATAGGGCGGTATATGATATATCTGACCCTGGCACTCTAGACAGGGCTGTATATTATATACTCCTGACCCCCACACTCTATACACAGGGCTGTATATGATATACCCCTGACCCCAGCACTCTGTACACAGGGCTGTATATTATATACCCCTGACCCCCGCACTCTGTACACAGGGCAGTATATGATATACCCCTGACCCCCGCACTCTATACGCAGGGCTGTATATGATATACTCCTGACCCCGGCACTCTATACACAGGGCTGTATATGATATACCCCTGACTCCCGCACTCTATACACAGGGCTGTATATGATATACCCCTGACCCCCGCACTCTATACACAGGGCTGTATATGATATACCCCTGACCCCCGCACTCTATACACAGGGCTGTATATGATATACCCCTGAACCCCGCACTCCATACACAGGGCTGTATATGATATACTCCTGACCCCTGCACTCTGGGCTGTATATAATATACTCCTGACCCCGGCACTCTGGGCCATTATTCACAGTTACCTTTACACTGATGACCTGTAAAGGCTTTTAAAGCACCACCTATGAGCAATTGTTGGGTACTGCAGTTTGCCATCAACGCTCTGACACTCACCATTCATTGTTCTTTCAATAAACTTTATTAGAACTTTACTTTGGACAAGATTGCAGTCATAGAATAAGGAGACAGTAAAAGCAGAAATACGATTGGTCGGGAAGATCCCCAGTCTGGAAATGTGGGGGCGGAGTTGGTAATAATTTCCAGTCGTTATAATAATAAAGTATTGTAGAAAAGATCCCAACATAGACAATGAAGGAGGGGTAATCCCAGATATGGGGGGGGGGGGGGGTAATCCCAGATATGGAAGGGGCAATAATCCCGGATATGGGGGGGGGGGGTAATCCCAGATATGGAGGGGGGCATAATTCCAGATATGGAGGAAGGGATAATCCCAGATATGGAGGGGGGATAATCCCAGATATGGAGGATGGGATAATCCCGGATATGGAGGGGGGAGGGGATAATCCCGGATATGGAGAGGGATTTGTGCCCTGATGACCTGTCCATCCTCAGGTTGCCGTGGTTACACCGGTGCCATGGTTTCCCGCACTCAAGGCACTAATACACCTCCAGGGTTGTGTGGGACCCCTGATGTACAGGAAGACAGGACTTCAGTGAGGAACATTTCCCGCACTCAGGACAGGAAAGTGGCTTCTCCAACGTGAGATCTGTGATGTTTGTAAAGATTGCACTTCTGTGAAAAACATTTCCCGCACTCAGGACAGGAATACGGCTTCTCCCCCGTGTGAGATCTCTGATGTCTGGAAAGATTGGCCTTCTGTGAAAAACATTTCCCACAGTCAGGACAGGAATACGGCTTTTCCCCCGTGTGAGATCTCTGATGTATGTAAAGGTGGGGCTTCTGTGAAAAACATTTCCCGCACTCAGGACAGGAATACGGTTTCTCGTCCGTGTGAGATCTTTGATGTTGGGAAAAATAGAAATTTTCTGACAAACATTTCCCGCACTCAGAACAGGAAAATGGCTTTTCTTCGATGTGCAACCTCTGACTTGAGACAATCTCTGATTTTTGTACAAAACATTTCCCGCACTCAGGACAGGAATACGGGTTCTCACCTGTGTGAGATCTTTGATGTCTGCATAGAGTGGACTTATCTGAAAAACATTTCCCGCACTCGGGACAGGAATACGGCTTCTCTCCCATGTGCAATCTTTGATGTGTATATAGATTAGCCTTCTGTGAAAAACATTTCCCACACCCAGGACAAGAGTATGGTTTCTCTCCTATGTGCAATCTTTGATGTGTGTATAGATTGGCCTTCTGTGAAAAACGTTTCCCGCACTCAGGACAGGCGTACGGTTTTTCCCCTGTGTGGGATCTTTGATGCTCTTTAAGTTTGTATTGAAAACGGAAACATTTCCCGCACACAACGCAGGAGAACCTCTTGTCTATTGGAAGACTGGCCTGGTCCCGCACATTCTGTATTTCCTCAGGATACGAGGAATCCGATGGTCCATCTATACTGTGTGGGAACCGGTTGACATTTTTGGTTAAAGGGTCTTCTCCTGGACAATGTTGGGACATAGTGGGGTCTTCTCCTGGACAATGTTGGGACATAGTGGGGTTTTCTCCTGGACAATATTGGGAAATAGTGGGGTCTTCTCCTGGACAATATTGGGACATAGTGGGTTCTTCTCCTGGACAATATTGGGACATAGTGGGGTCTTCTCCTGGAAAATATTGGGACATAGTGGGGTCTTCTCCTGGACAATATTGGGACATAGTAGGGTCTTCTCCTGGACACTGTTGTGACATAGTGGGGTCTTCTCCTGGACAATATTGGGACATGGGGTCTTCTCCTGGACAATATTGGGACATAGTGGAGTCTTCTCCCGGACAATGTTGGAAGGTAGCCGGGTTTTCTCCTGGACTATACTGTGTGATGTCCTCATCTTCTACTTTCCAATCTGGAGACAAAGTGAGACAATCCTCTAAGGTTTTCCTCATCTCCCGGCCATGGACTAAAATACAAAGACAAAGAGGATTACTAGACAGGAGCCCCACCAGAGGTCAGAGAGTGAGGATGGGGGGAGGACGACTAAGAGGAAGACTGGACTCATCCTGAAGATCACCATCATTGGGGTATTGGCTCCTCCCCACATCCTGAAGACCACAATCATTGGAGTATTGGAACACCATATATACTTTTGGGGAAGACCAATCAGGATGCAAGACATCAAATGGGCACGGTTTGAGGACATCATCACGTTAGGCAGAGTGACCATAAGGCACAATGATACCGCGGCTTGGGAGGGGGAGTCCGCAGGGATTCTGTTTTTTTGGTTACAAACTGATTGTATAACTATGTGAGTGTTTTTCTGTTTTATCCATTTAATAAATATCACAGTGAGCACTATGTAGTCTCTTTATCTCTAGGAGCCGGAACTGGCCATTTAAAGGGGAGACCCCCTCCACATGTCCCTGATCGATTTAGTGTTGATGACCCACCTGTGCTGATCTCTGTAGGAGTGTCCTCCTCTATAAATGTCCCCATTATTCCATCCTCCTCCATAGACTGCTGATCATCCCTCACATTCGCCTCTTCTTCTTCTGATTTCACCTTATCTTTTATGTCTAGAAGATCTTCACCCTAAACCAAGAGGAGGAGAGAAAATCTTGTAAACTCTATAGATCTTCTCCATGATCTCACTCCATGTTCTAGATGCTCCATCCAACCTACCTGATGATAGTGGGGGATGGTGTGACCTTCTTGTGTGGAATCTCGAGAATACGGAGGACGGGGACATCTCTCTGGTGGGTTCCTGGTATTAGGTGGCTCCATCAAATCCTTGTGTCCTTCTGAAAACTCCTCCATCACTCCATACTCCTCATCCTCCTCTTTATACTCTTCTTTTATGACAATTTTATAATCCCCGAGGATTCCACTCTGAACATTCAAAAGGACATTCAATGTATTGTAATTCCATGGAGAAATATACAGTGACACCCTGACACCTTATAGGAACCTGACACACACAATGATACAGTCACCATCCAGACACATCCCTTGTCTGTTACTGAAGAATGTCCCATAATTCCCAGCACCGCTCACCTCTCCTGTCAGCAGATGGACCATCATGGTGGTCAGTTCCAGGATCTTCTGCTCTTTGTTCCTCTCAGGTATTGGAGAACGAGGGGGAGGCACCATGGTGGGGCTCTGGGTCCTGCTCCATCCTCCTGAGATTGGCTCCCCACTAGACTTCTTCACTACAACATAATCCTACAGATCAGGAGAAAGAGAAACCGATATCAATCATCTGACATCATCTACATGTCTACAAGAAGAACATGGTCTATTGGCCAGACTAGACCAGAGTGATGTCATGTGACCTCCCAGAATCCTCCTCACCTCTCCGATCAGGTCTGTGTGATGTCATGTGACCTCCCAGAATCCTCCTTACCTCTCCGGTCAGGTCTGTGTGATGTCATGTGACCTCCCAGAATCCACCTCACCTCTCCGGTCAGGTCTGTGTTTTATTAATAAAGATAGGAGTGATGACATGTGACCTCCCAGAATCATCCCCTAGACGAGGCTACGCAGTCCCTGTGGCGCAACGCGTTGGGGAGGGGCAGTGACGTCACTGCACATCTGATACGGCGAGTACTGACGGCGTGGGGTACACACCCTCTGACCAGACCTTCACCGCAGGCAGCGGTTGTTTGCTATACAAAAAGCGCTGTTGATGTTTTTAACATGTGAGTGTAATGTGAAAGTGAATTAAAATCTGAATTTGTCTCTGGGATAAGGCACCATTCTTTTCTCTTTGCATGCATTTGGCTGTTACAACAAGGAGTGGATCAAAGGAGGGATCATCCCTCACAGGCATACAAGCTACTTGCAAGGCTGCAGGATTGAAGCACATATTAGAAGGAGAGAGTGGATCAAAGGAGGGATCATCCCTCACAGACACACAGGCTAATTATAAAGCTGCAGGATTGAAGCAAACCATATGTTGGAAGGAGAGTATGATTTGATTTGATTTGACTTGAACACTATAGCACTTTTTTTTGCACTTGGGACTTTTTATTTATACCTTTTAGATTCTTTGGACTTTATATATTATTTTTATCCTGAATTATTATTTGATTTATTAATTGGCACATATATAGGAGTATTTACAATTTTTTAAAGGTATGATCAATTGTTGATTTATTTATATTATTTTTCAAGCACTGAGCACTTTTTTTAATTAGTATTAGAGCGCGGTAATTATTGAATTAATTGATATCAAATGCATACCTGTAGAGAGTGTGCAAAATAACCAGCGATCTAGAAAAATATATATGCTCCTCTGTTAGTATACCCTGGTGGCTCACAATTAAACACACTATAACTCCCAGAATCCTCCTCACCTCTCCGGTCAGGTCTGTGTTTTATTAATAGAGATGAGAGTGATGTCATGTGACCTCCCAGAATCCTCCTCACCTCTCCGGTCAGCAGGTAGATGATCTCCAGGGTGAGGTTTAGTATCTTCTCAGTCATGTGACTCCGGTCCTCCTCCATCCTCCTCTGGGCAGCTATGTGGTCTATACAGGTTTCGGCCTCGACAGGTAACTATAAGTAGTGATGATAGAAGTCATATAATTGGTCAGTATAGACTGAGGAGGTGAGAAGTTGATTGGTGGGAAAGGTGACATCTCCACAATGAGGAGAATGTTCCGGCCCCAGAAGTTGGGGTTCTGCCCCTGAAGGGGTTAATCTGGGTTTCCACACTATATATATGTGTATCATCATCTGCTGGAGATAAAAGACGTCACAGTGACTATGGAGGAAGAGGACGGACATGACGATGGAAGAAGAGGACGGACGTGACGGTGGGAAGAAGAGGACGGACGTGACGGTGGAGGAAGAGGACGGACGTGACGGTGGAGGAAGAGGACGGACGTGACGGTGGAGGAAGAGGACGGACGTGATGGTGGAGGAAGAGGACAGGCGTGACGGTGGAGGACGGGCGTGACGGCGGGTTACTGGGTGTAAATATAAAATCAGATCTTATTACCTCCTCTGCTGCCACTTCCAGCAATATCTCCTCTCTACTTCCTCCCGACTCACTTCTCACTCGGAACTTCCTACTTATACTTGACATCACTTCCTGTCTTCCATAGAGACTTCCTGTCTGTCGCTGACATCACTTCCTATCTTCCATAGACTTGCTGTCTGGGTAGAAGTGATGACTTTCCTGCTCTGGGATCTGGCAGGACGCTGGGCACAGGGTGTGGAAGGGGCTTGGCTCTGGGTCCACCCCCTGCACTGTGTCCGGTGAGGAGGTCCTGGTAGTGCTCGGGGGAGGGGAGCGGAGGGCTCTATGTGGGGTCTTGGTGGGAGGGGGGAGGAGTGGCCTTTTCTCTGTCCCGCCCCGGAGCTGGGGAACTGCTCCCAACTTCCTGTCCTGAGCATGTGATACGGAGGGGGGGTTATAATCCCGGATATGGAGGGGGGTATGATCCCGAATATGGAAGGGTGGATAATCCCGGATATGGAGGGGGAGGGGTAATTTGGGGTATAATTCCGGATATGGAGGGGGAGGGGTATAATCCCAGATATGGGGAGGGGGGATAATCCTGGATATGGAGGGGTATAGTCCTGGATATGGAGGGGGGCCCCGGATATAGAGGGGGGATAATCCTGATCACACCAAAACCCTCAAACGACGCAGTCGTGCCCTGGAGCGACTATGGCGCAAAACAAAATCCCAACAAGCTTTCACCTGCTACAAATCTGCCTTCCGCACCTACACCTCCTCCCTCCACGCAGCCAAACAAGCCTACTTCCTGACCCTCATCAAGGCCCTCTCCTCCAATCCTCGCCGACTCTTCTCCACCTTCACTCTCTCTCACTCTCTCCCCCCCTCTTTCCCACCTCCACCCCCACCTCGCTCACCGCCCTTGAGATTGCCAATCACTTCAAAAACAAGATTGACACAATTCGCAAGGACATTGCCGCAACTCACACGCCCTCTCAACCCGTCCCCTCTCACACAGCTACCCCCTCATCCCCCCTCCCCCTCGACATTACCCGCAGGGACTTCGTCACTGCTCAAACTCCCTCCGACCCCGTTCCCCCTCACTCAGCTACCCCCTCATCACCCCCCTCCCACGGCCCCACCACTGCTCTGCCCTCCACTCCCACCCCACCCTACATTCCTCATACTGAAGCTCCCCCAACACTCCACACCTTTGACCTTACTACCATTGAGGAAGTCTCCAAGATCCTCTCTGATGCCCGCCTCACCACCTGCCCCCCTCGACCCTATCCCCCTCACAATTCCTACGACCTCCCTCCCCCCCCCCTCCTACGCTCCCTCACCCACATCTTTAATCTCTCCCTCTCCTCCGGCACTTTCCCCTCCCCACTGAAGCATGCACACATCACCCCCCCCATACTTTAAAAAGCCCTCCCTGGACCCCCAATGACCCGAACAACCTCAGACCCATCTCCCTGCTCCCACTTACATCTAAACTCCTCGAGCGTCTCGTCTACACCCGCCTATGCTCTCACCTCAACGACAACAACCTCCTCGATCCCCTACAGTCTGGCTTCCGCCCCCTACACTCCACCGAAACCGCCTTACTCAAACTCTCCAACGACCTTCTAACCGCCAAAGCTAATGGCCACTATTCAGTGCTCCTACTCCTTGACCTCTCTGCGGCCTTCGACACAGTTGACCACTCCCCCTCCTCCTCAAAATACTACACTCCCTCGGCCTCAGAGATTCTGCTCTCTCCTGGCTCTCATCCTACCTGTCACAACGCTCTTTCAGCGTTACCTATAATGCTACCCCACCTCCCCCTCACTCCCCCTCTCTGTTGGGGTCCCTCAAGGCTCTGTCCTTGGGCCCCCTTCTCTTCTCCATCTACACCTCCCTCCCTTGGCCAACTCATACACTCTCACGGCTTCAACTACCACCTCTATGCCGACGACACACAAATCTATCTCAATATACCCCCCCCCCAGGATTATCCCCCCTACATATCCAGGATTATACCCCCCCCCCCAGGATTATCCCCCCCTCCCCCCTACATATCCAGGATTATCCCCCTTCCATATCCGGGATTACCCCTCCCCCCATTGTCTATGTCGGGATCTTTTCTACAATACTTTATTATAACGACTGGAAATTATTAATAACTCCGCCTCCACATTCCAGACTGGGGATCTTCCCGACCAGTCAGATTTCTGCCTTTACTGCCTCCTGATTCTATGACTGCAATCTTGTCCAAAGTAAAGTTCTAATAAAGTTTATTGATAATGAACTTCAATGAACAATAAATGGTGTCCATGTATAAGATATCTGTCATATTTACTAAGAAGCTGAAGGATGTAGATGAGGGGTCACGCATAGTATGAGCGGCATCACCCTTCACTGTGTAGTGGTCCGTTACATTGGGTGACCAATGGGAGAAGGACCCCCTTATATCAGTGTAGTGGTCCCTGACATTGGTGACCGATGGGAGAAGGACCCCCCTTATATCAGTGGTCAGTGTAATGGTCCCTTACATTGGTGACCGATGGGAGAAGGAGCCCTTTATATCAGGGGGGGTCAGTGTAGCGGTCCCTTACATTGGTGACCGGTGGGAGAAGGACCCCCTTATATCAGTGGTTAGTGTAGCGGCCCTTACATTGATAACCGATGAGAGAAGGCCCCCTTATATCAGTGGTCAGTGTAGCAGTCCCTCACATTGGTGACCGATGGATGGGAGAAGGACCTCCTTATATCAATGGTCAGTGTAGCGGTCCCTTACCCCCCACCTCACCCCCCTTCGGTCTCTGCCCAAATCACACACCTACTGAGCGACATATCAGATTGGATGTCGCTCCACTTCCTTAAACTGAATCTCTCCAAAACCGAGCTCCTTGTCTTCCCCCCAGCCCGAACCCCACCCCCCATTGACTTCTACATCACATCCAACAACGCCAATATCAAAACCCGCTCTGCAGGCCAGAGTACTTGGTGTCATTCTGGACTCCAACCTATCCTTCCAGCCCCAAGTCCAATCTTTAACAAACTCGTGCAGACTCCACCTCCGCAACATCGCCAAAATCCGCACGTTCCTAACCCCAGAAACCACTAAAAACAGCTCATCCCACTCCCTCATCATATCACGACTCGACTACTGCAACTCCCTCCTCACTGGCCTGCCTCGCCGCTGGCTATCCCCCCGCTTCAGTCGATCCTGAATACGGCTGCCAGACTCATTCACCTTTCCAACCGCTCCATTTCCGCCACCCCCTCTGCCAATCCCTCCACTGGCTTCCGATTGCGCAACGGATCAAATTTAAAATCCTAACACTGACGTACAAAGCTGTCCACCATACTGCCCCCGAACTACATCACTGACCTAATATCCAAGTACCGCCCAACACGCACACTCCGCTCCTCACAAGACCTCCTTCTCTCTAGTTCCCTGGTCTCCTCCTCCCATGCCCGCCTCCAGGACTTCTCCAGGGGTGTCACCCATCCTCTGGAACTCCCTGCCCCAACCCCATCAATTATCACCTACTCTCCTCTCCTTTAGGCGCACCCTGAAAACCCATCTCTTCAGGGAAGCCTACCTCACACCCCCTGCTAACTTGCTGACCTCCTCCACTCTTCCTACCACTCCCATCCCCCACAGCTATCTCCTCCTGTACCACTATCCCATCCCTTCTAGATTGTAAGCTCGAAAGAGCAGGGCCCTCGATCCCTCATGTTTTGCATTGTATTGGTATTGTTCTGTCACATGTTCTGTCCCCCTTTGTAATGTACAGCGCTGAGTGGAACTATCGCTTTATAAATACTGTATAATAATAATAATAATAATATGGAGGGGGGAGGAGTATAATCCCGGAGATGGAGGGGGCGATAATACCGGATGTAGAGGGGAGGGGGATAATCCCGGATATGCCCCAACATTCCACCGCCGGATGAACATGGAGATGGAGGAGGAGCCGAGGTTCCCCCATCACTTCTATCGCCAATGGGAAGGAGTTAGTCCTTTATAAGCCATCAGCGTCTAATGGGAGCGATCAATGCTTCTAAGGGCAGAGGAGACATCTAAGGGCTACAAGAGTACCTGTCATGGCCCATGTTCATCCCTTGTGATACCAATAAAGTTGTTCCCCTCCCCCCCCATGGAAAGGTGACCACATACGTAGGCCCCCACCCCCCTATGTGAGATTTCTCCGCACACGTCACAGCGGGAGCGATCATTCCAGCGCTGGACCTCCCGTGTCCCTCCACACTGGTGACCAGGAAAGACTTGTAAGGCGTGGCCTGTGGAGATGTTCAGGTCCCGTAGTTTGTGACGTGTGACACATTGGGGAAATGTTTGCTCGGGCCGATCATCATTCCATCAGACATTTGGGGGTTAATTTGCCATTTTGTGCGTTAAGATTCAATAAAGTTTATTCCTTCCAAGAAAAACTGACATCAACCGTTGCAGCACCCACCATTTTATTCTCCAGGGCCTCTGCGTCATATATACAGTATATATAGAATGTTTGGGGGTCGAAGCAAGAAAATGTTGATTTTTACATGTGTGGGAAAAGTGTCAGCATTTTATTCTTCTCCTGCCATCCATGGCCAACCCGGTCCCACACTTCATCCACGTCTTTGGTGACCTCTGACCTCCTTCTGAACTGTTTCTTCCATGATGAAGATCAGCCATGGAGTATATCTGAGGTGTATATCAGGGTGTGCTTCTTCCCCACATGAGAGCTGGGATGTCCACCAACATTCATCTAGAAGACATTTCCAGCACTCAAGGCACTAATACACCTCCAGGGTTGTGTGTGACCCCAGGAAGACAGGACGTCAGTGAGGAACATTTCCCTCACTCAGGTCAGGAACATGACTTCTCCCCCGTGTGAGATCTCTGATGTCTGAAAAGATGGGACTTCAGTGAGGGACATTTCCCTCAGTCAGACCAGGAAAGTTCATTCTCCGCCTTGTCCAATCTCAGATGACTGTAAGCAGAGGACTTCTGCGAGTGACCATTCTTGTACTCAGGACAGGATTGAGGCAAAGTGTGCAATTTCTGATGTTTGTTAAGATAGGATTTAAATGAAAAACATTTCCCGCAGTCCACACAGGAATAGGGCTTTTCCCCTGTGTGCAATCTCTGATGTTTGTAAAGATGGGACTTCTGTGAAAAACATTTCCCGCACTCGGGACAGGAATATGGCTTTTCCCCTGTGTGAAATTTCTGATGTGTGTAAAGATTGGACATCTGTGAAAAACATTTCCCGCACTCCGTACAAGAATACGGCTTCTCCCCCGTGTGAGATCTCTGATGTGTGTAAAGACTGGACTTCACTGAAAAACATTTTCCGCACTCAGGACAGGAATATGGCTTATCCCCTGTGTGCAATTTCTGATGTTTGCAAAGATTGGACTTGTCTGAAAAACATTTCCCGCACTCAGGACAGGAATACGGCTTCTCCCCAGTGTGAGAACTTTTATGGTCATTAAGACTGGCTTTAAAACGTAATCCCTTCCCGCACTCAGCACAGGAGAAGCTCTTCCCTGTTGAAAGGGCAGCCCGGTCCCGCACACTGTGAGGGTTTCTCAGGATACAAGGAATCCGATGGTCCATCTACACTGGGTGGTGCCGGATGGACATTGGAGGGAGCCGTGTTTTCTCCTGGACCATACTGTGAGATGTCCTCATCTTCTACTTTCCATTCTGGAGAAAAAGTGAGACAATTCTCGGAGGTTTTCCTCATCTCTCCCGGCCATGGACTAAAATACAAAGACAAAGAGGATTACTAGAGAGGAGCTGATTGGTTCCCCCAAACCAGGACTCTGCCCACATCTGGCAGCTTGGTCTCTGAGGAGCTTACAATTCTACCCTCAAGGGAACTAGGAAATGGGTCAGTGACCAATCAGTGAGCAGTATGGGTGGAGGAATGGATTTAGTGTTCATGACCCACCTGTGCTGATCTCTGTAGGAGTGTCCTCCTCTATAAATGTCCCCGCTATTCCATCCTCCTCCATAGACTGCTGATCATCCCTCACATTTGCCTCTTCTTCTTCTTCTGATTTCACCTCAAATTCTATATATGTCCGATCTTTGCCCTAAACCAAGAAAAGGATCAAAGTAACATCTGTAAGACATTAGCTTCAATTTTTTGACTTCACATAAAACAATTCACACATCATCTCTACAAGTTTATGTTCTAGATGCTCCGTCCCACCAACCTTGTAATAGTGAAGGATGGTGTGACCTTCCTGTGTGGAATCCCAGGAATACAGAGGACGGGGACATCTCTCTGGTGGATTCCCCATGACTGGATCCATCTACCTGATGATGGTGAGGGATGGTGTGACCTTCCTGTGTGGAATCCCGGGAATACAGAGGACGGGGACATCTCTCTGGTGGGTTCCTGGTATTAGGTGGCTCCATCATATCCTTGTGTCCTTCTGAAAACTCCTCCATCACCCCATCCTCATCCTCCTCCTCTTTTATCTCTTCTTTAACCTCAACTGTAGGATCTCTCAGGTTTCCGCTCTGAATATATAATAAAAAATGACATCAATGGTAACAATGCAGATAATGTACAGATCCTAATGATACTATCAGTGATTGTTCCTCATCTACCTGATGATGGTGAGGGATGGTGTGACCTTCCTGTGTGGAATCCCAGAAATACAGAGGACGAGGACATCTCTCTGGTGGGTTCCCATGACTGGATCCATCTACCTGATGATGGTGAGGGATGTTGTGACCTTCCTGTATGGAATCCCGGGAATACAGAGGATGGGGACATCTCTCTGTTGGATTCCCATGACTGGATCCATCTGTAGGAAACACACACACTGACTGAATCCATTGTTTTCTATGTGTTTATCAGATGATGGGGGATCTAGGTGGAGCCTCCGTACTGCTCTCTCCTTTCCAATAAAGTCTCCTCTTACCCGGTGATGTGAGGGGAGGCTGATTGTCTATCATGATGTCCTTGTAGAGGTCCTTGTGTCCTTCTAAATACTCCCACTCCTCCATGGAGAAATAGACAGTGACACCCTGACACCTTATAGGAACCTGACACACACAATGATACAGTCACCATCCAGACACATCCCTTGTCTGTTACTGGAGAATGTCCCAAAATTCCTGGCACCGCTCACCTCTCCTGTCAGCAGATGGACCATCACGGTGGTCAGTTCCAGGATCTTCTGCTCTTTGTTCCTCTCAGGTATCGGAGAACAAGGGGGAGGCACCATGATGGGGCTCTGGGTCCTGCTCCATCCTCCTGAGATTGGCTCCCCACTAGACTTATTCACTACAACATAATCCTACAGATCAGGAGAAAGAGAAACCGATATCAATCATCGGACATCATCTACATGTCTACAAGAAGAACATGGTCTATTGGCCAGACTAGACCAGAGTGATGTCATGTGACCTCCCAGAATCCTCCTCACCTCTCCAGTCAGGTCTGTGCGATGTCATGTGACCTCCCAGAATCCTCCTCACCTCTCCAGTCAGGTCTGTGCGATGTCATGTGACCTCCCAGAATCCTCCTCACCTCTCCAGTCAGGTCTGTGTGATGTCATGTGACCTCCCAGAATCCTCCTCACCTCTTTGGTCAGGTCTGTGTTTTATTAGTAGAGATGAGAGTGATGTCATGTGACCTCCCAGAATCCTCCTCACCTCTCCGGTCAGCAGGTAGATGATCTCTAGGGTGAGATTTAGTATCCTCTCAGTCATGTGACTCCAGTCCTCCTCCATCCGCATTGGTGCCATTATGTTGTCTATAGACACGCCTACACAGGTAAGGACGATAAGTGATAATGAAAAATATATATGTAGCGATACCCCCGAAGGGGCTGCTTACGTTTGTTCATTCTGCCTCTCAACCCCAAGAACTGTCTCAGCCCCAACTGACACACCTGACAATAGTGTAAGTACAAGGACCAATGAAAAGCACCCATGTTATAATAAACACAGATCAGCATTACTGCAAGACCTCTATGGGAAGTAATAAACAATAACAACAGGTATACGTTCAGTGAATCAAGAGAAAGCAAATTCTGAGACTGGAAGCAATATAACTCACTTTTACACTCAGGCTGCTTTCAGGGGATTCCAACCGTGAATAACCCCAAGAGCAGAGGAAACACTTACATGGCGCCCTCAAAGTGGGTCTAAACCCCTTTACAAAAATTCAGCTCTATGATGTCCAAGCAGGAGGAGAGCAGAAGAGTGACTCTCTGTTGTGTCAGACTTCTCCCTCCTAACCCCCGACACCACAAGCCCAATAGGCAAACACTGTACCCAACTGATGCTTAATAGCTACTTTCCAAGGTAAAGCTATTCCCTCACACAGCATGCAATATAGAGGCCTGAATACGCATGCGCGTGCCCATATGGTACCAGTAACTTCAGTCTCTTGGTAACAGGATGAATGTTGGGGTCTTCAGTGAGCCACTTTCGTTGGTGCACTTACACTCCTATGGTAATTGTAATCTCGTGGCAGTATTTGTATAGCAAAGCAAACACCATGTCTGTTTAGCAGGGCCATCTACACAACCCAGTGCCTGGTGAGTATGGGCAAAGTGTAATGTCTCTGTCTGTGTGCAGTGTTCCTGTCATCTGCCAGTGGGCAAAATCCCTCTCACCAGATCCTGTGATTAAGGCCCAAACGATCATCCTGGAAATGACCAACTCCTCTGGTCACCTCACAATGAGCACTTCTGTACTGTAGATCCACATCTCTCAGTTTGGATGTTCCCTGACTGATGCAGATCACCAAGCATGCTGTGAACTGACCCCAAGCACTTCTCTGGTTAGGTCCAGACTCTCTCCTGCCACTTGCAGACTCCCTCCCTCAGGAAAAAACAAGATGGAGTCCTTCACTCTGCTCTCCCTAAGCATGATGGCTTTTGTAGTTCTATCTCCATTTCAGCCTATCAGGCTGTTTCTGTTCAAGACTGCATCTTCCACAATGCTTTGCAGCTGCACCTCCTGCCTGAGAAAGTCCCTGTCATTGGCTCCTTTAATGGCTCTTCTGATTGTCTCTCTCTCTATTACAGTCTGAGAGGAGAAGGGAGGGGCTGAAATCCCTCACTGTGGAAGTGTCAGGGTTCAGAGGAGATGCCAGTCAGCAGGTTACAGCATTCACAGACAGGACCAATCTCCCCTGCTACATATATAGAAACAGAGAATGTTCCGGCCCAGAAGTGGGGAAATGTTCTACCCCTGAAGGGGTTAATCTGGGTTCCCACACTATATATGTGTGTATCATCATCTGCTGGAGATAAAAGACGTCACAGTGACTATGGAGGAAGAGGACGGACGTGACGGTGGAGGAAGAGGACGGGCGTGACGGTGGAGGAAGACGACGGACGTGCCGGTGGAGGAAGACGACGGACGTGCCGGTGGAGGAAGACGACGACGGACGTGACGGTGGAGGAAGACGACGGACGTGACGGTGGAGGAAGACGACGGACGTGACGGTGGAGGAAGACGACGGACGTGACGGTGGAGGAAGAGGACGGACGTGACGGTGGAGGAAGAGGACGGACGTGACGGTGGAGGAAGAGGACGGACGTGACGGTGGAGGAAGAGGACGGACGTGACGGTGGAGGAAGAGGACGGACGTGACGGTGGAGGAAGAGGACGGACATGACGGTGGAGGAAGAGGACGGACGTGACGGTGGAGGAAGAGGACGGACGTGACTGTGGAGGAAGAGGACGGACGTGAGTGTGGAGGAAGAGGACGGACGTGAATGTGAAGGAAGAGGACGGGCGTGACGGTGGGGGGAGGAGGACGGACAGACAGACGTGACAGTAGAGGAAGAGGATGGACATGACGGTTGAGGCTGGATGTGACGGTGGAGGAAGAGGATGGACGTGACGGGGGTTACTGGGTGTAAATATAAAATTAGATCTTATTACCTCCTCAGCTGCCACTTCCAGCAATGTTTCCTCTCTACTTCCTCCCAACTCACCTCTCACCCATAACTTCGTATTTATCCGGACATCACTTCTTGTCTACCATAGAGACTTCCTGTCTGTCGCTGACATCACTTCCTGTCAACCATAGATACTTCCTGTCTGTTGCTGACATCACTTCCTTTCTACCATAGATCCTTTCTGCCTGGGTAGAAGTGATGACTTTCCTGCTCTGGGATCCAGCAGGACGCTGGGCACAGGGTGTGGGAGAGGCTGGGCTCTGGGTCCACCCCCTGCGCTTTCAAAAAAGTGATGCTAGGTAGGGGGAAATGATTGACTGGCATCTGGTGGAGGTTGAACTGAGAGGCACATGGAAGAATTGGTGGGTGTGGAGGCGCCACAGTGCTGAAGGCAGTAGCTTGATGAAAAGGTGACTTTTGGGCCAGTTGGGTTGTGGGCTTGCAACCAGGGTATTCCTAGAATGGCTGGAAACATGGGGGATCAGTTGACATTGAAACGGATGAACTCCTGGTGGCCAGAGTCAGTTGTTGCTAGGACAAGAATGTTTTCCTGGGTAACAGGTCCTGAGCTCGGAGTAGTGCCATC